GCAAGTGAATATTGTATGTTATTATTCTGGAAAGTGGGCACTACTTTTTCTAGTATATGAAAAACGTACTTGTTCTTATTGGTGGGAATCTTTAAAGATATTTTATAATTCTGCCTTTTGTGATACAAAGGCGTATAAAAAATTTAACTAACACGTGAGTAAGATGTTTCACCAAAATACACAAAAGTGTTCTTTCATTCGTTTTCATTTATAACACTGTTTGTAGTTAAGCACAAAGCGGCACATTGGGCTATCTGTGCTCTGCCCACCACGGGTATCGATACCCGGTTTATTGCGTTGTAAGTCCGCAGACATTTCGCCGTGCCACTGGAGGAGGGGGCTTATAACGCCGACTTCATTTAAGTGGTGTGCTCTAAAATTAAAATCTAAACGTCCAAGACCTTTAAGATGTTTGACATTTGTAAGTAATGGTGTAAATGCGATGTGGATGACTTTGTGACAACATTTCATAATTTCAGTGCTCATTTATCTTAGTATGTACCTTTATTAAATTCTGGCTTACATGTATGTGTTTCGTCTTCATCGTGGTTGCAAACATCTTCTCGGCAATTAATATGTGTTTGATCATGGCTCATTAAGTGTGTTGTTACCACATGATCATATACCTCGTATGTTAGAAGTCTGTTTATACATACGGAAATCTTTAAATGTATTTAATTTAATGGGGTAAAGTATATTTAATGTTTAATCGTAAAAGTATTTTTAACGTTTATTCTTAAGTAATATAGCGTTTTCTATAAATGGTAATGCCCAAAATGTCCTGGGTCAGAGCATAGCCTAGTGGTTAGTGAAGCAGACGGAAGCTCCAAAGTTTGAGTTTAGATATGCCGCTGAACACGTCTTTTACGATGAGGTGTTGTAGCTGTGATGACGAATTCCGTTATTTGGTTAAGAATAGCTATAGATCATACGGCGTGTGGTGCTGACTGGTTGCCCTCCCTCTCATCAGCATTTCTAAATCAAATAGATGTGTCTAAGCATTAAGAGCCTAGGAGGTTGCAGATTAACCCATGTGTTACATAGGATGCCTTTCAGGTTGAAAATACCAGGATGTTGTGAACGTCTAATCGTGTGGATACACTATACAATATCAGATTCAACTCGTAGGAATCTGTGTTTTTGCATAAAAGGTAGAGATTTGCAGGGTTTTCTTGGGTTTTGGCTAATTGCAAAAACATAAAATAAAATTATATATCATATAGTTATATATAAGTTATAGAAAGCATGCATTCACAAAGTTTCTGATCAAAGAAATAAATAATGAAGGCTTGTAAACTTTTAATGGAACTGAATTTAGCACTTAAACTGTCCTCATACCTCAATAAAGATGACAGCTTTTGGTGTTTGAAGCACTTACATGTTCGGTTTATTAATCTTTCATGAGCTGCTTTCAAACACTCGAGAGAAAAAATTAAACTTAGTTTGTAGTTAATAGCGTTCATTCAATCTGTTTCAGAATCGTTACTGAGGAAGTATCGTGTTTATATAAAACAGTGAAAACCCAAGCTTAGGTTCAAATCACTCGTCATTCTTTTAATACCAGTGAGTTGACGATATCCAGTAACAGAAAATCAAAGCTATTCTGATAATTAAAGATCAAAGTTCAATTTTAATTTTTGAACCTACTCTTAGTTCCATTAACATTTCTCTTTTTTTGCATAATATTTAAAATTTATTAAGAAGAACTTTTGAGTGAAAGTAAAGAAGAGTGTATAATAATATTTCAAACACGCTATATCTTCTGCATCCAGGGCCAACAAGGTATCTCAGCCAATACCAGGGATCTTCATGACGACTGGGAAATAACAGACATAGTAGTGGCTGAGACGCTATTTATATTAGTAAGTTGCTTGACAACAATTGTTAAGGTGTTAACTGTATCAAGTTAGTGAAGTGTAATTTTTACTCAATTTTATTTACGCTGCAACACATCAGAACTGTGGAAAGCATTTATCATTTATTTGGTTTAAATATAACTATACTGTAAATAAATAGGCTAAGGCAATTTAAAGCAAACAAATTAGAAATAAGTTATAATGACAATAGCATAAGCCAAGGAGTTTTTATGGTTGACGCATCAAATGTTTAGGACCGATAAGCGGATATAATGTAAGCTTCTAAAGTGTATTATAAAAAATTATTAGTTCAGTTTCTTGGAAAATATAGTTTAATAGGCTAAAACATGAAGCAAATTAGACCAATCAGATTTCTCTAGGAACTGATCATTTTTCAGTAACATGCTCGTTTAACAAGGAAATCCTTTTATTTTTTTATGTCTGCGTAATGTTTTAAAGAAGCGGATTGAATGCGTTTAAACATTGTTCTCTTAGACTAACATCCCCTATACATGTTAACTGAACATATAAATATACTAATACTTCTTCCTTTAAATTTCTATATAATTTATCCGGTGTTCATTGCCTCCTGCAGTGATTTTAAAATCACAAGAAACACATCCAAATTTCATTAGCTCCTATCTGATTTTGAAATCACAGTAAACATAAAAAGTTTTGTTATCTCCTGCAGTGATTTTTAAATTATAAAATATATCATTCATCTATTTATCATGCCAAAAACATTATGCAGTCTAATCCTGTTTCTGAGAATTTTGTCTAAAACCGTACATTAATTATTGTACAGAAACACAGAGGTTTATTAACTGACGACAATACAACGTCGAGTTTAACTTTAAAATTTATTGGTGATAAATAACATGGAATCGTTCTATTTAAATATAATATTTCTATAAAACAGTTTCCAACAAAGTTTCGAAAATGGTAAATAATATGTACACCAAAAAGAATTAGTTAACTAGGTTGTCAAGCGACACACAGTAAAACAACAAATTCATAGACATTATTAGGCCATTTAATCAACGCAGTTCCGTATAAAAGTACCTTACAGAGTCTTGGCCATTCTTCATTTCGGAAGATTTCAATTGCCTTTTATAAAATATATATTACATAGCTTTTAGAATTTATATATAAAAATCATCCAGCTCAAACGAATCACACAAAATTAAAAACATTAAATCCCTCTTACTTGTTTTTTACTATATGCAGCATATAATAATGTTAAATGGAAAGGATTAGATGACTAATGAAATTTTCGATTCAACTGACAAAAGTTGGCATTTCGTCCATCTGCTTGTCTAAAACTTGTATCCTAGAAACGTTCTTCAAACACCTGGTATGAAATTAAATATTCTACTTTCATTATAAGGACGTAAAGTTAAATCAAGAAAGAAAAGTTATTATTTTTTGTTTAATGAGTTCTGCAAGAGATGTTCAAGGTAAAATCACATATTTCTCAATACGTTTTCATTTCTGCGACCGTTTCTATTTTAGTTTTCTGCTCCCTGATTTAGCTAGACTGAGAAATAAATACATAATAAATTTCTCTCCCTTATTCTCATGTGTCTTCATTCTCTCAATGAATCAGATGTTAAGTTTACAGACTTACAACGCTAAAATCCGAGGTTCTATGCCACTTGGTGGACAGAACGCAAGTTGCGTGTTATATATACAGATTTGCGCCAAAACAAACTTATACTTCTTTCAGAACACCACCTGTACATTACAGGGTGCCCGAAAAGTCTGGAATCATAAGCACTTCAACAAATTTTACAGGATGTATTCCACATGCTCTCCTTATAATTCGAAACAAGTTTGGATTAACAGCAGGATTAACTCGAATTTTTCATGCTCTGGCAGTGCCATAATCACTCACGTGTGTGAAATTAAGAAAATCTGCAAATCACCTATGGTTCCAGACTTTTCGGACACCCTGTATAAGTAAAACAATAGATTCAATATTACAATATTACAAAATGTTGCAGAAACAATTTAGCAAGTCTATTTGTGCGTACAGAAGAAACACGATTCACAATTAATCTATATGTAATTCCTCCAGTTACGTATTTTAATGCCTAGATTTATGTTAACGAAGATAAATTATTTTACTAGACTTTAATGTGCCTAATGATTTCACTATATATATTTTATCACGTATGTAACATATTTAAACAAAAACAAGTGATTAGCTATAATAAGTTGTAAGTTATCTGTGTTCTAATCGTGTTAATCCTGGTACACTCGATTCACAATCTAATGGGTTGCGGGATTTAAAATCGTCACCGAACGTGCTCGCTCTTTCCTCCATGGGGCATTATAAAGTAACGGTCAATCCCAATATTCGTTGGTAAAGAGTAGCCCAAGAGTTGGCGGTGCCTGCAATATTTCAAATAACATGATGCACAGTTAATGTCAATTTTGGACATTATTCTTGCACATACGCCTAGGAGGAAACGTTTTAGAAACTTTGCGATAGGAAAATTAAGATTAAGTAAGATTATATGGTCGCTAGTACTTACAGAAGTAATGAGAGAATGCTATTAAGATACGTCAAATTTCTGAAACAAATAAGTTTTATGTTATGTCAATCCGAAATATCTATTATCAGCTTTCAAAATCATTCTCGAAGTAATATAAGCATAGGAACACGTCAAAACCAAATCAGCTATGTAATTTAAGGTTTGTTGTATTTGAATTTACCTACTAAAAGGCATCCGGTAAATCTATCCTATAAAAGTGAATTAAAAGCAGTTCACTATTTCCTTATGTCTACTGACATTTCTACTTGATTCAGAATCTTCGCGCAGACCCCAAAAACGGGTTATTTATAGCCCCCCCCCCTCCTCTTCTATCTACTCTAGTCTGATTGAATAATGGAATTTCACCGTTACGTTTAGTGCGCACCCATGTTCCAAAGTGTGGACCTCATTTATGCGGCAGCGGATCACGAACCATGAATCATCAGATTCAGAAACCGCACGTTAAACAATAGTCCACGCCTAGCCCATTTCAACTAATATGAAAACTCTTAGGAGATAACAGAAAATATGAAACAAGGACCAGTTCAAAGTAAGCTTGACAAAAAGTATTGATTTAAAGCTTTAACATTTCTTCTCTGTGTTTCAGAACATTTCTAGGCGACAACCAAACATGAGAAAAATATCCTCTTTAACGCTCAGTTTTTATGTGTTCTTCAAGATATGTGTCCACGCTTCTTATGGTAAGTGTAGTATAAATTTTAGTTGGTTTTCTAAGTGTCTTATTGTAAGTATTCCTTGTAAACGGTTTGAAAACATTGTTCAGGTTATCATAGGTTGTCTATGGTAAAATTATATTGTTACTTTTTCTTCAATACCTTTGGTGACCATTTATGTTACAGTCTAAACTAAAATAAGTATAGTGATATCGGCATTAGTCTACAAGAGCTTTTCTTTATTTGTCAGTTTATTGTCTTCACCAGTATGCGAATTTAAGTGAAGACAACATTATGTAGAGACTTATATAGTCTTTGATTCGCTACTTCCTCTGCAACAAACTAGTTTCGCCGAATTCACGACTCATGAGATCTGCTTGGTAGAGCGAAACAAATAAATAAAGTAGGAATCATGTCGTGGAAGAACGTAAACATTCTGTTTGGTTTAAATGTATAGTTCACATTCACCTTTAATTAATTAATTTCTTAATTTCTTTCCTCCGCCAAAACATGAATTTCAGTGAAGAAATCACCTAATGTATTTTATGTTATTAGTGGTGAGTAAAGGATTACATATTAAAACCAAAGACAGTTAAAACGGACTTATACCACAGTAAAATCATTATATGAAAGATCAATCGAACCTTAAAAGATTGATTTGAGTAATAGTGTCCCAGCAGATACAGTGCTGCCATGAGCGGCGTTATTAGAACTAATACATTTGCTTCACGATGAATTCCTGATTATTTAAAAATATAATTTCACTACGGATAGATTTATGGTTGGAGGATCTCGTTACAACCTTACACGAGTAATATTATTCATATAACTAACATAGTAATACGTGCAAAGCTGGGGGTACATGAACTTCAAAACGAATGTATGGTAAATATTATCGGCAAAAGAAGTTCAGCACACCCATACAACAATGTAAAATCATCTTGATAGCATCCACCACGTACAGACAGTTTGTCTAGAACCTATACTCCCATACTCACTCAAACAGTTATTCTTAACAAGCTATTTTCTTTATGCATACCACAAGCCCTGCTCCCCCTATTGGAATCAAGTGATTCCAACATGCCTCTCATGTAAATCATTATGCGTCACCTCTACACCAATAGAATCATAGTACGCTCACGTGACGCATATGACTCTATGCTCCATTACCAAACTATGTCATCGAAGTCTGGCAGAAAACAGAATCACCAGATGTGTTGTGGTACACAGTGGTGGTATTGTTCCAGTTCTGTCCTTGGTTATCTCTTTGCACGTATTAAGTCCAGCATATAATTTCTACGACCCATGAAAATAAGAGTTCATGATGTTTTCCCACACACCTGTAAAGTCACTTGACCGTACACCATGAACTTCTCTGGACTTCGTTTGCTTCAACGAAATCTTAAAATCCGATGACCTCGTAAAATGAAGTTTACAGAATTTATTCCATATGCTGTCCTTGTAATTCAAATAAGTTTGGATTAAGTCGACTCTCTCATGCTTTTGTAGTTTTACCAAATGTATCTATTATGACATACCAAAAATGATCTCTAGGTAAATAGCGGTAAGTCTATCACTTCTAAATAAAAGACGGCTAGCGCAGATAGCTCGCAATTAAAAAGAAAACAAAAACTTATAAAGTAGTAACCAGAGAAAGGGAAAACAGTCAACGACATTTGTCGCTATTCTTAAGCAAGTAGCGAGTTGACTTGCGCAGTTATAATGCCACACACCTGAAAGTGAGAATGTATTCAGCAGCATATCGTGGCTCGAACCTCAGACATCGTGATCTGCAACTCAGCATGCCATCCCGAAAAATAAACAAAGAAAAACAAAATTTGTATCACAATTTTCTCGGAAAGAACTCTCGAGAAATGACTTGCAAACATTAATGTATATATATATTATATATATTTGTACACACACACACACTTAATGAACTTAATGAACATATAGAAAAGCCCGAACATTGAATTGAAGCGTAAACAATGTTGATGGTTAATTTTTAACAAAATATATATGTCCATTCTGATTAGGCATGTATTAAAATATGCTACTGATAATCCAATATATATTTTAGTATGTACACTTATCAATATACTTAAAGTGTCATTCTTTCAGGACCACCGCGACTTTTACTGGATGATCGTACACTACAGATAACAGTCCGTGCCGGCACTGAAGCTCACCTTCCATGTCCGGTCACTACAAACGAAGACTTTCTAAAGGTCCACTGGTACAAAGACCATGAACTTGTGGCTAGCGTCGGCGACCCTCGATATCAGGTGACAGAAAAAGGCTCGCTTGTCATCCAACAGACTAGGCTGAAAGATTCTGGATCTTTCATTTGTAAAGCAGCCAATCAAAATGAAGCTGTTCAGGTTCAAGTACAACTACTTGTATTACGTAAGTTTAAAATTAGTACAGTTCTAAACATTGCACTAAAAGTATAACCTTTTTTCGAAAATATAAAGTATCCTTGTGAAATCGAGTGTTGATTATTTGTCACGTCTGTCAGTAAATACGTTAATTTAAGATAACATTCACCAGTCACATATACCCTTTTCTTAATCATTTATCCAAATTAGATAACACCCATACGAAGAAGACGAATAAAAAGCTACTCTAGAAGAAGTTTTTAGAAAATGCTTGAAATATATGTTTTAGAAAGTTCTTAACAGATTATTTAAATGATGGAGTTTTAGCTTTAATGGATTGCTTCTGCCCGTTTATAGGATGAAACGAAGTTTTGACTTTTACACTGAGGTCGTCCTCAGGTCAGAGTCAAACTTGTTAACATTGTAGTGTATTTTTGTTGGTTAGCGAGATCCTGTGATGCAATTCATTCCAGTGTATTTGTTTTTATATCTGAATATACTTATTTAAGTGCGTTTAACTGAAAAAAAAAACATAAAATATTGAGCAATAGACTTCTTGAAATTCATCTAATTCTATTAGTGTGGTTTATAATTATAGTTTTATATTACAGTTTGCTATATTTTTGTTAGAAAGTTGTCAATCGTACTATATTTTTATCATTTAATTTGTCAGAAAATCGTTGTTTTATTTCATTTCATTGGCTAAAAATACAGAAGCTGCATCTTTATTTAAAAATGGCGCATCATTACGAATACTAATGCATAATATATATATATATATAATTATAATGTAGTCTTTCAAAAGTCTATCTAGCTTTTCTAATGACAACAACCCTTTAACTTTTGGTAACCAATTAACATTTGGAATAAATTGTGAGTATTATTTAAAACTTATGTCAATCTTATCTGCAATTTTGTAATTGTATTGCAGCCACCTATTGTAAAAAAAAACAACCATATGATGCATTTAGCAGCAGATGAATGCTCATCGATTTGTGGGCTTTAATTGATTTATATCAGCCCCCCAGTGGCAGAGCGCTATATCTATGGATTTCCAACGCTAGAAACCGGGTTTCGATACCCGTGTGGGCAGAGAACAGAAATCCCGTTGTGTAACTTTGTGCTTAACTTCAAACAAAAAACAAAAAGACTCGTATCAAACGTATCGTTCAAAAGCATTTCTTTCAAAGCACATGTAGAATGATGCGAAACGTGTTATTTGATAAGTAAAAAATATATATAATTTAGGTACGAAAATAGCCTATTATGATAAAATAAGTGAACATACGAAACCAATTATTTAGATATATTTAACGTCAGGACTGTTATATTTTGACTAATTTGTTAACATTGAACTAAAAGTTGCTGTCGTACAGGTGTTGAAGAACTGTCGTTATCTTAACATTTATGACAACACGTTTAAGAAGTAACTTACTGGAATATTTATGAAAATGTTGAAATTTCTACATGAATTCTGTTTCCAGATGTTTGTATTAATGTACTCTCATGAATTGAAGTACTTTCACAATAGGTCCTCATTTGAACTTGTAGGCTATCCAGTTGACACGACGACAGTATCACCAGTAGTTATTCCTAATAAATGCAGAAAATCATCAGGTGCAGTTTCGGATTCGGACGATAGTAAAGGTAAAACATTTTTCTCCTTTACATAAAAAATCTAACTCATTTTAAATAATGAGTTCTTTCGCATAGATATTAAATGCTAATAATCGCATAGATATTAAATGCTAATAAAATCAATACTTGAATTAGTTCTTCATTGAAAGTCAAAAGATTCACTGAGACATTTTTGTTCGAAATAGTGAATACCAACGACTTTTTTAACATAGACATGAATGACAGGCTCATATCCCTGCCTATTACGTCTCGCCACCGTATTCCATGTCTTTCTCTTCTTCGTTCCTCCACTGACATGTCCAATGATCTTCCCATTAAACTTCCTTCTTCACTTCTTACTACATATCCAAACCATCCCAATCTTTCTGCTTTTTCTTCGATCTACAAATCATTTTCTGATGTCTTTATTCTTTCTCTCAAGGATATTCTTAACATTCTCACATCTTAACATTTCTAAAACACCCTCATTCTTTCTTCCTATGGCCCAAGTTCTGCTCCATTAAGCAGAACTGTCCTAACTACTGTTCTGTAATTTTACCAAATATAGCTAGTATGACATACCAAAAATGGTTCTCTGGTAGGGCAGCGGTAAGTCTACGGACTTACAACGTCAAAATCCAGAATTCGATTCCTCGCGGTGGACAAAGCAGATAGCCTACTGTGACTTTTCTCTAAAATAAATAATATACCATAAACATATATTATGCTAGAAATGTACAGTAAATCTATTCAGGAACTGGTATCTTTAGAACATGTAGGCTACACAGCTCGATAACGACACAACTCGGTTATCGCTAAGAATGTGATACCTACATAGTAAATTTAACCAATATTACACGCCTTGATTTTGACGGTTCAAGAATGCGGTAGCCATGGAAACCAACTAAACTCTGACAGGTATGTAGTAGCACCATGTTGTCTAGAGCAGTTTTAGATCGCCGAAGCATCTAGATTAGGTAAACATACCGTCAGCGTTTACAATTTGTAGTTACTCCAGGGTATATATTCGTCTTCCTTTGTTGTTATATCATCAAGTCAAGCAGTTAAATCAATGTATCTGTTAAAATCAACCCTTGATAAAATACAAAAGTGATTGATCACAGTAATAATTTTTTTCAGTTCCAGGAATGAATCATGGAATGTCGTTGTTTTGTTTTCTAGAATGATCCATGGTTATAAGTAGCTAAATTAGTTTCTTTCGTGATTTTCGAAAACGCTTAAAACTTAAATATCACATCTTCCAGGGGAGAAGAGGTTTACCACTTTATGATCAATCTATAAAATGAGATTCATAAACATGTTGAGGGTGTTAATGTAAAATGTTCCAAAAACTTCTGAATATAATGTTGGAGAAACTTCTGAGTTTTAAATACATTTCTGAATATAATGTTGCAAAATCTGACTTTAAACTGATCTTCTGAATATATATAAAAATATTATAAAGTAGTAAAAGTTTAGATATATTTATAAGTAATATTTTAGTTACATTTGTCTTTATTTCCCAGTGTTAGATTCAATTGTTATTTTTAAAGACGGCACAGATTATCTTATTCATAACAACATTATCACATTCTTTTTTATTTATTACAAACTAGAAAAAATAATGAATAGGACTAAAAGTTTTCTATTTACGAAACACGAGCTCACATCTTGAGTGCTGGTAATGCATATCAACAAACAACAATACATTAAGATACATTTCAAACTCTTAACAGAAATGTCTATATTGTTTTAGGGAAATTACACAAGTAGAATAAGAAATTCGTGAAATATTCAACAACTAAACAAAATCCAACTAAATAAAATCATAATTAAATAACAGGTTGAACAATCACTAAGTTTTATATATTTTTATTTAAAGAAGGATGACGTTTCGAGCTAGCACTTTTCGTCAGATCGTACAGTTTTTAATATTGAATTTGTTTGTTTCTTAAGCACAAAGCTACACAAAGGGCTATCTGTACGATCTGACGAAGAGCGCTAGCTCGAAACGTCATCCTTCTTTAAATAAAATTGTATATAAACTTGACGATTGTTCAACCTGTTATTTAATTTTGATATTCGCGTCGTCTATGCGGTTTTAACTATATCTGGCGTAAAAATCATAAACACGAACTGGGTGTATGAAAAGTAAACAATTATCAGCCATTGAGAAATTATATTAATCAGTGGAAAAGAAAAGGTAAATCTTCCTAAAGAAGTTTTGAAATCTTCATCAGGAAAGAGATAAAAGCATAACTGTTAAATAACCAAAGTAAATACTATATATTTCCAGAAGTAAAAATACAATGGGAATGTATAGAAAAAAATCCATTCAGTAGTGTAACTGAAGAAAAGAATCTTATAATTATGGTGAATAAGTCTTCCAAGTCATTCAGGCAATTTCTGTAAAGCTAATCCCTAAGCAAGGTAGTGCTTAGTATGTAGGAATGGGCCGAGAAACAAAATGGATACCGCATTAAATCTATTACTCTATGATACTTGCAAATAACTGATAAAGATGAGTTATAGGCATGTGGACCAACCACGACTGGGATACGACTTGTCACAAGCCTCTTTATGGATGGTTCTGGTGCTCCAACTTCATCCACATTTCTTTCTCTCTCTTTTTATTTTTTCGATGCCATTAAGTACAGGGAATATTTCCTTTTTGTAAATTCTAAATCCCCTAGTTAAACACATCTTTATTATTTGAGTGTATGAATATTTTATGTCGGAGAAGGTTATATGCTTTACCCAAAAGCGATCAGTTGAAGGGGGTAACAAACTACCCGCAAAACGCCAAAGCATATCAAAATGTAGCACTTAAACATTCCGTTCCACCACTACTTCATAATCATTTTGTTTGTCACGTGACGTGATGATTATCATATTCAAAATAGTTTTAACATAATGGACTCAAACATCTGTACTCTGTGTTTGTTTAATGCGTGAATCTTGTATATTTCAAAATCAAACATACATAACACATAAATATACATGAACATCGTGTTGTTAGACACGGACAACAAGCTCTTTATACATTAGTAACAAACTATATGTATGTAAATTCTTGTCATGAGCAAACAAATCATCACACGAGTATTTTAATTTCTTAAAGGAATTTTATGATACACAGAAACTGCGCATTCTCATGAATATTAAATATTAAATTTTTAAAAATCGACTCGAGGATTATAAAGAGAAACTTAATCCTACATTAATTAATATTCAGGTCTTTTAATAAAGACACTCTCTTGCTCCTTCATGTGTATATTTATCAACATGCAAATAGGAGGATTGAATACTGTGATTATTGATAAAGCCCGCATATCTCTCTACATTATCTACTGTGAAGTATCTAAAATACTGCATGGTTAAACAGAAATTAGAAAACTGCTGAAGACATCGTCTAAGTATGATTATTTCCAGGATCCAACTGTAGGAAAGCCGTAGGGAACTACTACCTCAAGTGTGTTTCACGAAAATGTTAAGGGTCATGTGAGCTTTAACTATGTGATTTGATTCATCAAATATGCATTGATTTCTACTGTTCAATCAACTCCACTGGGAGTTGATATACGGTATATGTACGGAGAAAGAAACGTTTCTTGTCTTAATTATGGTGGCTTCTATATTGGAAATTAAAACTTAAAATTAAGTGTGATAGGACATAATTAGAGTTGGGCTTACCTTAAATTCCAAAGAAAAATTATTACATATGTTTGTGTGTCTATTTTCTGCAGCAAATACAAAATAATATGTTTTCGTAGAAGTTTACAGAAGCAGCAAACTGTTTTTTTTTCTTAAGGTATGAGCAGACTTACTTTAATTACTTTCTAACTTATTAATCATAATTTTTCTATATATCTGACTACAAGAACGAATGGTTACTTTATTTTCCCCAAGCTCACTTTATTGAACCAAATTAGAAGGGTGTTATTATATATATATATATATATATTCTGCTATTAACTCACTTTTTGATTTAAAGAATTGATTCAATTTCTTTCTTGCTTCAAAATATAGGTATACACACACACACACACACACACACATACATACATACATATATACACACACACACATATATATACACACACACACACACACATACATATATAACACACACACACACACACACATACATACATACATACATACACACACGTGTGTGTGTGTGTGTGTTAGGTTGGTGTAATTATAAGACTGGAATTCTAACTTAGAATTATACTAGCTGTTTTAACTACACTTAATATTACGTTTACAATTGGAAGGAAAGGATGGGTATATAGTTAATATCTATTAAAATGATAATGTGAAACAAATTCATGTAATACTATTTCTTTGAATATATATATATTTTTGGGCGTAGCTTGATTTCGAGATTTTTTAAAAATAGTTCATGACCAGTATTTATTATTACTATTTGTCAGACGCTCCTATTTTGACCACCAATAACCGTGAGGAAGATAACATCTTCCAGAGACCAGTGGGTAGTTCCGTTTTATTTCGTTGTGTGGCTACGGGAAAGACAAAACCGGTGATCACGTGGTTTAAGGATGGCAAACAACTGGTCGAAGACAATGTCATTGTAGGTGATTTACCAGACAATTTTCGAATCACACAATGGTCTTTGATAATTGAGAACCTAAGAACAACAGACAGTGGAAATTATTCATGTGTTATTTGCAACAACCACGGAGCAGCAAATGCCACTTTTGATCTCCAAGTTGTTGGTAGGTGTCTCTAGTAACTATGCAACGTATAACAATAATATAAAATATCAAACTATTGTTCAAACAAAATGGTGTTTTGTATGCTAAAACATGTTATTTCAAATATTATAAAAAAACCTTCTATTTGCATGTGTTCTATAATGAAGATGTGAACAAAGCATCTGATTCGCTTAGAAATTACTATTATTATCAAAACATTCCTTAACATCGTTGAACAACAAACCATTTGAAAGTATACTATATATTTTTTCTCTAGTTTTAATCTAGAATATTGGGGAATCGAGACTTATTAGAAAAGTTGAATATGACTTAACAAATGAGACTATATAATGTAAAACGTAAATCAACTTTGGTGGAAAATATTGCCAGATGTTTCCATTATTTTTTAACAAAGTTAATAAATTGTACTACATATATTTAAGAGGTTTATTGAGATTTTAATAGACCCAAACGCAAGCTAATTTATGATTATTTTGAATGAATAACTTTGTTTTTCGTTATTTAATTTCATTAGTAGCATAAAAATGGAACATCCTCATAGCTAGAGAGATAGGTAGATAGACGTTGGACAAGTTGACTTATGCTAATTAATTTGAAGTAGATAGAAATTATAAGCTTAATCTAAGATTCCAGAAGGATCGTATACAAAACAACTGTTTGAAATACATAAACTAAGAGCCTATGGTAATAGCTATTGGCCTAATATATAAGTGAAGAATCCAAATATACTTGAAAACCATTAACAAGTACCGGAACAATGAAAAATACGAATTTCTAACAAGAGGACAAAAAGAAGCCTAAACTTTCTTCGGTTTTAATAAATTAAAATAGCCAAGTTTTTGGTCACACACAATTACTACCATAAGAGGACAAATACAAGTCGCGTATGTAACGCGTATAGCGCGCAGAGGATCATAGGTATTTGTAATGAGTTCATAATTCTACAAATAACAACGCAAGACTCCAAGTATGAAATATTTTCAAATTACTCGTAATATCAACTTTTTAAAACAAGAACAGCCAGGCTATTTTCTTTAAGTCTAGGATATAACCCATTATATTCATCTATAGAAAGTAGAAATGGACGCCAGTACACGGTACGTTTATCCGGGAAAACAGACATGTAACTAGTGTAAATAGTGCATTTTGAATTAGGGCGGGTGCTTTCTACTTTCTTACTCTTAAAAGAACACTATCTTTGATTCATGAACCTATTCTTTTGGTTATTTGCAAGACAGGATTTTGCATCAACAATTTGACATAATACAGTCAAAAACTTCGTGATTGTCCATTTATACAGGGAGTTAATTGCACTTTATATCAAGGATTTACACATGTTGATACACTGCTGTGTCGCAGCAGATCCGGACCATAGTGACATGCTCATCACCTTATATTCAACCAGTGCAAATTCCTGACCATTTATCAATGGAATGTCACCACGGTTATGAATGGCATTGTTTGTCACAGCCCTTTCCTAGGACGAATATTCTTTTAGCGAGTTATCAGACAATAAAGACCTGATGAATACAGCATTTTAAAATCGGGAGCCTTCATTGTTCTCCTTGGGAGTGGAAAAACTTCCATAGCAGAGTATTTAGGACAGTAACAAGGTTTGAAATCACATCCGAAGTCAATCTGAAACAGCGCCCTCATTCTTAAAATTAAGATTGTGGTTACAAAAGATATTCTTGTGACCCAAGAAACTGGCCATATCTTCTGATAAAGTAATAAACAATGATTTGAAATTGACTAACTATCACAATCTTTCACCACACCGTGAAATCAGCGGCTGTTTTCATGTTTGTATTTATTATTTTATCTTTGGAAATTTCGTGCAAAACTACACAAGGGCTATCTGCACGTAGTCGTTCCTAATTTTGGAACTAACTGATACACTAGAGGGAAGACAGCTAGTTAACAAACCGTATCCACTACTATCTCTTGGGCTAATCTTGTCTGACCGAATAGTAGAATTTGATCACTGTTATAATGCACCCACGACAAAAAGTGCTTAATGTGTTTCAGCGGCAATGGGATGCGAATAATAAATCCTCAAATTCCTTGTCCGGACATTCTAACTACTAAACCACGCCAGACCTCCTGTTTACATTGGAATGATGGCCGAATAAAGTGGAATTACAGATTCCTTTCGATCATACACTTGTCAACTAAAATCGATGCAGCTCCAATATACTTTTATGCCTTTGGTCTGTTTAAACGTAAACTTGGGAATCAAAGTCCACGTCCAATAGAGGTTCTGTAGAAAGTTTATCAAGACGAGTAGTTTAAGATTAAGTATTCCAAACTTACCAAGAGTTTGTTGACATATAAATGCGGTGTATGTGGTCATGACCATCAGACTGACGGGAATCAAAGTCCACGTCCAATAGAGGTTCTATAGAAAGTTTATCAAGACGAGTAGTTTAAGATTAAGCATTCCAAACTTACCAAGAGTTTGTTGACATATAAATGCGGTGTATGTGGTCATGACCATCAGACTGAGGCGATCAACAATGGAAGAAATAGTTCCAGGGCAACATAAGACTTATAAAAAGCAATTAATCTCAATAAGTGATTTTTACAGCTGGGAAATCTTAGTCCCCCCAGTGGCTCAGCAATTAATTTGAGGGATTGTAACTCTAAAATTCGGTGCTCGATACCAGTGTTTGGCACAACGCAAATAGCCTGTCGTGTAATTTTGCGTTTCTAAACAAATTAATAAAAGAGCATTCTTATTCAAACACTCCACATTCTAAACATATACGAATAAACGTTTTTATAAACAAGACAAGTTACTTCTTGTCATTGATAAATTATATAAACTAAGATACACTGTTATTTCAGGCTTGATACCAGTCGTAAAAACGTTTTATTTTTAAAAACTACGAAGAGCAAGTAATGAGTTATATTTCTTTATATAACCTTTGAAATATTTCATATAAACATATTCTGCTCAAATATTTACACTTAAAAAGCTTGGATTTTCAATATTTTATGAAAAGTTTACAAATATACTCATCTCCTAATGAGACAACGATAAAATCCGGGGTTTCTTTCTCAGTGGTGGACAAAGCGAAGGCGGCCTATTGTGTAGCATTGCGATAAAACTAACTCTATCTGCCTGACATAGCCTCGGTTTAACTATATTTACAGTAAGAATATGTTTCAATCGCTTAAAAATTTGTATATCAAGCTTTCAGTTTCGTTTAGTATACATAGTTCCAAAAATGTACAATTTTTTTTTTGTGTTAAATTTCGCCCAAAACTAATCGAGATCTATATGTGCTAGTCATTCCCAATTTTGAAATTATAGGATAGAAAGAATATAGTAAGTACCACCCAGGCCTATTCTTGGGCTACTCTTTACTAACGAATAGTGAGATTGACCCACCGTTGAAATGGCAAGTATGTTCGGTGACGGTATTTGATTCTACCATCCACAGATTACGAGTCGAATGTCCTTGCCTTCTTTTAGACCTTTCCTGTCCAGTTTGAAAAGGTAAGTCCAGAGTATGTTTAAACACTTTTTTGCTCTTCTAACTGCGTGAGATTAGAGCATAAGTTAATTCATGTGAAAGAATCTGAAACTCAAGAAGATCAAACATTACGAATTTTATCTATCCCTTTAATAAAAAACAATAAACCTTGTGTATAAGCAACTTACAAATATTTAAATTTCAAAAATGATATTCTAAAAGAAATGTTATAAACCTGATGTATTATAGCTCCACTTTTCAAAAATATTATTATAATGACTAGTTTCTCCGAAAAATATCACCATCCCTTTTAAAACAAAAGTATGTGATCTAATGATTTTCTTTTAGGTTGTTTAAAATGTAGATGAAAATTATTGAACACAGAAAATAGTCCTATAAATAAAGTATGATGAATTAGTGAGCTGGAAGCACCAGATATTTCTGTATGAGAGGACGGCATTGTGCTTCTGTTTGCTTAATAAGGAAATGCAATGATATATACATACATATATATATGTTTGTCAGAAGTTATTGTGTATTTGTCAAATACATTTAAATCATCTAAATGCGAGATATTTTATCTAATGGCGGATACAAGGTTTAAGTAATTAAAGTTATTATCATTATCCCCAGAAGGCAAGATGAAAACTATATAAAGTATGTGCGTGCATAAATTGGGTAAATTTATAAAAGTTTTAGGATCATGATTTTTTTTTAGAATTATAGGACAAAAAAGTTAAAGCTTAGCAGAAATTCGATATTAATAATAATAGAAACAGTTATTCCAAGTACGCGTGTTAAAAATATTGTAAAACATGATGCAATCCATCTTGATACTAGGGGGTGTTTAGAAATAAAATGTATTTCACATCGGTGGTTATGAGTAAATTTCGACCGACGAATGCCCATGTTATTAGATCAATACCTGCCAGTAGCGGAATCAGGTGCTATGTGTTTCAATTAGAAGTGGAAACTGCCGTAATCAGATTTGTAAACCGTTTTGTACATGCACTACACTTACGAAGATTGATCACTTTCTACTTACTAAGTGTTCCAACGTTAAAATGGGTGATGCTTTCCTGTAACATGATAATGCCAGACTCTATACTGCTCGACGAATGCAACTGAGTCTTAAATTAGTAGCTCTTCTCCATTCTACGCATGCATAGCCTAACACCCTGTGACTTTCTTGTTGTTATTTTATGGTTCTCTCAAGGACGTTCTGCGTGAATAACACTTCGAGAAAACTGACAATTCTAAAGCAGCAGTTGTGCGCTGTTGGATTTGTAAAACACTTGTATTTATCGAGTTTATATAATGGAAATCATGTAATAAAGCAGGAAAGACATTGTACGTAGTACAAACTATATCTGCAAAAGTGATGTCTGGTTTCTCACAAACAACAGCACTGGTGTATATTTTTATCCTTTTTTTTTCCTGAACACTCCTTGCTTCTATTACTGTTAAATTCCATTGTAATGAAGGTAAGTATTTTCAAAAACAAGTTTAGTTTATCAAAAAATACCCCCTCCCCCATGACTCAGCTATAGCGCTATAAACCAGGTTTCGATAAACGTGAAGGGCACAGCAGTGATAGCCCATTGTGTAGCTTTGCGCTTAATAACAAGCAAACAAATCAAAAATCAGGATATCAAGACACCTGTATTACCATATTCTGGCAAGTGATAATTCATGACTCTTTGGGTATGCTCATCTGTATCAGAAACCCTATTGTAAGGTTACATTGCGAAACATGGCACCTTATCAGCAAGTTCAAAATAAGGTTTACTCACACTATACTGAGTTTGTCTTTTCTCAAGTGTGCCCAGTATCCGTGATTTATCCACATGAATATATTTTTTATTATTATGTAAGTGTTGAATGAATGTTTGTTGTTTTATTATTGTTCAGATCGAATTCTCAACAAACCGGAGCTTGCGGGAAGTCATCCAGTTAACACAACAGTAGAATATGGAAGAAAGGCTACTTTCCAATGTCGTGTACGAAGTCAAGTGCTTCCACACATCCAAGTTAGTTATAACAATACAACAATATAAACCATTCTTAATCGTTTCTTGAATAGGAGAATAGAAATATTGAGATATGTTTGTTGTTAATTGAAATCTAAAGATACTCACCAAACTATAAACCAAAAAGTATACTTGGCAGTGTTCATTTTATACGCTCTGAAAATAAATGTCTTCACAGTTCTATGTTCTACTTTTTTGTAACTACACATCAACATTTTCTCTTTATAACAGGTGCAAAAACGTATACGTGTTTTAATTTTGAATTCTCTGCAAACTTACAGTTGATTAAAATGACGCGAAATATATTCAAATTACTTGTTTTTAAACATTTATTTCTCGTGTATCTTTTTGAAACAAAATTTTCATTGGTCACTTGTTATATCTCCAGTGGTTGAGACAGATAAAGAAAAAAGACTCAGCTCTCCAAGACAACGTTATCAAAGTGAAAGGAAAGTTTTATCGGGTACTGAAGTCAGATCACACCATAGAACAGTCTAAAGGAATATTTCTGAACAAACTACACATTTCAGAGGCTCGGGAATCGGACTCTGGAAATTACATTTGTTTAGGATCCACACCTATTGGTTACAGCTTTAGATCTGCTTTTCTGACAGTAGTACTACGTAAGTCAACCAAACTAGTGCTCATGTTATCAATAATAAACTCAATACATAGCAATTAACTGAAGGCAGTTTTGGTCTTTTCATCTGCTCCTCTTTTTGTTTTCATAAAATATATTAGAAGGCACTATTGACGTTAACTCTCCAGTGGTTTGATTCTCTAGAGTTTACTTAATTATTTTACAACTTCATACTTGAAATACAGGCATTATAAAATTTAAATAGAAGTACTGCATGAATTCTATTTTAGCCCATTTGTTGACTGATATAGTTATACTTCCCATTCTGATCATTTTCGAAGTTGTTTACTTGAAACGATTCAAGCTACCCGAGCACTTAACATTGTGTTATACAATCTAATATTTTTACCTCTTCGCAATAAATGTATGCTTACAGATTATATGAAGTTTATGTTAAATTAGGATTCAGGGAAGAATGGTTGGGGAAATACTAAAGAGACTTAAAAAAAACTTGACTCAGTCTGAATTAGATTTTTTAATTCTACATAAGATGGATTAGTAGTTTCTCTAACTTACTTAGATAAATATAACTTTATCTAGTTCCTGTAATTTGCATAAGCTGGATTAAGTGTTTTAGTAGTTCACTTAATTTTTACGGATTGGACTACGTGTCATGGTAGATTTAGACTTATCTAGTTCCTGTAGTCTGTATGAGCTATATTCAGTATGCAGCTAATTATTCTCGTATAGTACAAGAAAAACAACACAGAGGGTGATTTTAGTTTTATCTTTTATCGAAATATCATCAAAGAAAAAGTGTTATGTGCTATTTCAAAATTCCTAACGGACAAAAAACACAGCAAGGCTGAGAGGAAAAAGAAATGAAACAAATAAAGTATAAAATTCGAAATTTAGGCCTGTAGGTACGTTATAAAGGTGGCAGTCAATTCCCAATATTTGGCAGCGGATGCTGTTGACTAGATGCCTTTCGTCTCTTTCGTCTGGTCTAGAAGTCAGTTAAATTAGAGACAATTAGCCCTTGAATAGCCTTGGAAAGAAACAAATACTTTTGTTCTATTATATGGGTCTTTACTCCAATAATTTTGTTCTATTATATGGGTCTTTACTCCAGCATTTTCGGGAACAATGAATTGATAAATTATTTACTCATTACTAGTATTTAATTATAGTAACTATGATCATAATTACTATTATTATTAATGATTATTATTTCTTATTTACCTCTTATTCTAACTCCTACGAAGAGCCAACTGGTCAATCCTACCTATATCTCGTTTAGAGATATGAGTTCCACAAAAGAGCAGCCATGACTCGCATACACAAATTATAACATCATTGGTCTCAAATATTGATCACTGTGTACGTCATGTTAGGATATCAATTATGTACCAAGATATCTACTTGAGTATGTGCATTGCATTACACTTGTTTCACTTTCTTGTTTCTTCACAACCTTATTGTGCTTTTTTTTCCGTTAGAGTTTTTGTTTTGATTTGTTATGGAGCTTTTTACACGATGTATCCAATAACTCACTTCCTAATAGAATAAAATAAATATACTAAAAATGCATCTAATCAGGATTTTGAATACAAGAATCACAATTTACCAGTGATTGCTTAATTGACCAAGAGTCACTTAATTGCCAATTGCTTACTCATTTGAACACTGCAATTGATCAGATTTGATTTGTTTTTTGTTGTTGCACACAACGCTACACAATGGACTATGTGTTCTACCCATCGCGGCTGTGGTTTATGTTTGTTTGTTTGAGTTAAGCACAAAGCCACACAGTAAGCTAATTGCGCTGTGCCCACCACGGGTATCGAAACCCAGTTTCTAGCGTCATAAGTCCGCAGACTTACCTTTGTGTCACGATTTTTAACGTTATAAAATTTCAATCTCTATCGCTGAGTCTCCGGAGGTGTCACGTTTGAATACAGGTAGTTTTAGTCAATCGCTATAGCTCATTATAACTATTGTATATACGTATATTGTTATACCTACAAAGCTATAATGGTCTACCTTCATAGTATTAAATGTTTAAAAATATGTGGTCGTTTGTTTAATGGATTAATTGGATATTAAAGTGGCATGGGTTAAGTTACAAAACGCAAAAATCTACTCTTTTAGAAAGAAATAAATAGCAAAAGTCTCATCAACGTACGTTTTGTACAGAAATAAGTAAAAGCTTGCAAGGCAATTTTTCAGCCATAATGGTTGTCAAAACAAAACAAAAAATATCCACGTAGCCCTATAACAGTCAAAAAATATGTAGGATAAGTTTATTGTAGAAGTAAAACAAATAGTTTAGCTATAACCATCTTAAAATGTGTACATAATTAATTTATTCTGGGTAATTTTCGAAAATAACTTACTTTTTTTTTCTCATCTACGCAAAACAAGTCTTTGTTTTTTGACCAAAGTGAGAACTTAACTTAATAAACTAGTCGTATATTTCCAAATCTTAGAGCACAAATGACACTTATTTTGCATTTTCTACTAAACATGAAATTCTCTGCTTTTTAAAGTTTGCTTTAGTTGTAATAAGTTTACAAAAATATTTTTTATTGTTTAATTCTTGGAAAATGTTAGAAGCTCTAATGTGAAATGTATAAATATTATCCTAACAATTTTTTTAATTTATTGCCTATAAAGAACAATACGCCAATAATCACGAGGAACTCTGACAAATGTTGAAGTTATTTACAGTTACTGTTTCTATTCGTTTCCAGCACAACAAGATCACACAGTTTACTGGTCCCAGAGGGTAGGAGACTGGCAGGACCAACCTAACTCCCTGTTGGTTACTTTACCCATCATCCTAGGTGTTTTAGTTGGTGTAGCTGTAACTCTGGCAGTTGTTTGCCATCGCAGAAAATTAGCAGCTTCATTTCAGTATCAGAAAGGATTTGAATCCCACAGTCTACAAACAGGAAGACAAGTTGGAGCAAGCATTCTGGAAGTCATTGTAGAGTCGCATTTTGGTCAAACTATTACAGGAAAGGGTAAATCAATGAAGAAAAACCTCATTTTCCAGGATGGTTCTTACGTGCCCCTAGACGAAGGAAAAAAAGAAATTCTCGAAGAAAACCTGGAATCAGTTGTGTCACCCGTAAGATCAGAACTTGTATTTAATGGAGAGACTACAGAATCTAAACTTTGCAATGATGGGCAGCAGACAACCTTCAGTTTGGCTTATGACTTGGACCTCGTAAAAAATAATGTGTAAAATTAAATATAATTCTCGTTGTTCTAGGGCAAAATGATTATGATCCATCAGCTCCTCTGTGTGTGAAAGGTTACTTAGAAATCCAACTGATATTCCAGTTTAGGCCTAATGATGAGCCACTTATTGAACATTGAAATAAAGAAAGTTTCGTGTTTTGACGCCATTTTCATAAATACTGAATTATATTAAACATTTGGCTGGGAGACAGATAAAACCAGCTAAGTATTTATTGCTATTTTAATGTTTAATACATATTCGAAATGTCATTGTTCAATATTGTGTAACTATAAATCTGTAATTATAGCGCTTAAATTTGGTCAACAGTGATTTCTCATTCTAATTCTCAGAATCTCAATTAATGAGTGTCGTTGAAAAAATAAACATGTATATAATAAAGTGCTTATTATTTCTCCAATGAAATAATACAGTGGCACTACCGCGGTGCAGGTTAGAATTCAATGTTACATATACAGGGTTCTTTATAATTATATATCTATTCCAATAGTAATTGTGGGTGGTAACTCTACTCACCAGCCTCCTATGGGTTATAGATCCAGGATATATCAAATGGGCTTGACAAGCAGTAATATAACTTTTTTAAACGTCAAAGATTTATCTTAGAAATATTAACAAAAGATTAAAACATATTATTTGTTCTATTGACCTGGATATATAATTACAGAAAACCTTTCACATCGCTGCTTGCTGTAAAGATTAGTCTGTCGGTTCTTTGTTGCCCATTATGTTATTATAATGTTAGTGCTAGACTTAGTTACATTAATAGTTAACTAAATACTAGCGTAAGTGAAAATGCTAAAACATGTAATGCTGTGTGCAAAACATTACCGATACTTTTGTGACATTGCTTATAATGATTTAGTGTATTATTCCAATAAGATATTTTTGTTTTGGGAAACTGTTAATTTTGGAACATATGAAAAGGAGTAGCCTTTCATACTTTTATAAAATAATGAGCAAACTATTTTATATTCTAGTGAAACTAAGTGTTAAACAGAAGTTGAACAGCTCAAAAATGTTCTCCATTTTTTTTTTTTTTTTACTTACAGGTCATTTAAAGTGAGGAACTATAAGTCAATTCTTTCGAGTAACAATAACCACAAAGTCTTGTGTACTTTTAACAAAAATTTATTTTTTTATTTTTCAATTAATTTTTTTCATTCAATTAAACGTTCAATTGAATTGCATTTTAAGGTTTCTAATACTAACGGACTATCAAACCCTTTGGGAACCATAGATTTATATAGCTATATTTAAACGGTCTGTGAAAGTTAGAGATATTCAATCCTTAAATTAAATCTTTGAAGAAAAATAATTGTTACATTTGCCATAATCTGGTTGGTTGCCACAGAATATTATCCAAGTCAGGCTGAGGAATTATAGTTACTGTGAAATATCGAACTCGTACCTACAGTGCGATGGAGCTCCTCTTAAACAATCATGTTTTTCATCATTTGCTAGAATTTTGTATGGGAACAACGCGTAGGGTAGACGAGAATTTGAATCTTAGCTTAATAACTGTGCGGTAATAACATTAATTGGCTAACAGATACTTAGAAATCTGCAAATAACTGGAGGATCGTAGAGTTAATTGGTAAGACGAAAGTTTTAAGTGGCGAAAACAGATATGCAGCAGAAAAACACAAGTATTCATTATGAGCACACGTATCACGATAATAACTGATTGATAAACAAAAACAATTTTTGATAATAAAAGTATAATGAAAGAAAACTGAGCTAAGACTTTAAGATTATAAAGCTGAATACGCAAGTTTTGGTCAGCTGGCTTTAAGACAAGAGAATACCTCATAAGACGAGCCCAAAATTCATTAGCAAAGCTATAGATTTATAGCTTGACCAATGAGCTCAAGAGGTCATAACTATCAATCGTACTATATCCCCATTAAGTGTGTGGGACAATTGTATGAGGCATGGACATCAAAAGGTGAACATCTTTTCTTGCGAGTATCTAGAAGGATATCAAGACAATGGTCGATTGGTACTCACAAAAAAACTTCATCCCTAGGAAAGCTTTTCACATATTTTTAACTGGTGTCCATGTTCGCATGATACAAACTAATTATACAAATAAAGTTTGTTTTGTCAGTGGGAACTTAAAAGTAACTTTAATACATTTGAAATCTATGAGATGCTGGCTGATAAAGCAACAGAAATTACTGCTTTGAATAGGATTTGCTCCATATAAAAAAGTGGATAATTCTATTTTATTGGCTACATGCATGCATGCATACATACATACGTATATATATAAATATATATTTCATTGAAGCTACAGAAATCTCGATAAAGATATTAGTACAATACGTAAACAGTGTTTGTTCATCTTATCTTGTCGTGATACCCGTTGGAAGAGATTTGGTACAACAGCTCGTATATCACCGGTTTGTCTTAAAAACTTAACAGGAACTTTTGAGAATTTTTTCTAACTTAAATGAATTTTATCTTTCTTGTTTATTGATGTATTTAAACATTAGTATATTTAATCAATTGAACAATAAAGTCCATGTAATTGTGAATTGTATTTGTGGTTTAAAGGTTTGCTATAATACTTCACTACAACATAACAATAGTATGATCGTGTCAGAAGAACCTTGCATTTTATTTTTTGTATCTTATGTTGATTCTGAAATATAAAAAAATGCACCTTGATTTGATTTACTTTAACTATTTTTAAACGTTTCCACATATGAGAAATATAATAGCACAACATGCACCACAATCAAAGACACCCCTAGCAATGAGGTTAAGAAAGTTTCATGGAAATATTTTTCCTTTTTATTTGTATTTCAATTTTCAGTAATAAATAAACTACAAAATTAGTTCTCATTGGGGTACTACGATAGAAAGATAAATTAATCACTCATAATAGAATAATCATAATGGTTTATAGCCAAGAAACGAGATGAAGCTTAACTACATAGAATTCGATCTAGCTATTTCAAGACATATGAGGTAAACTGTCTAGTATAACTAGTTGATATCTAAGTGATTGTGTGAGATACATCTGATTATTACCTTAATTGTTATTAACTTAAATCAACATGCTTCCTTCATATCAATTTTTATATTTACATCAGTACATGCTTAGAAATAAATGGCAAATACTTCGCAATTGAAAAGAATTAAAATAGAAATAATTACAAAAGTAATGCCCAAATGCTTAGATCCAATTGGGTGACATTTTATTCTTGTATGTTCTAACACTAGTGTTAAGACTGGTTCATTAAGTTAATAATAATGAATCGATTTATCATGATTCTGATTACAGCGTATAGGGTTCTCACTAGCATATGTTTGTAATGTTGTTGAGAATGTGCTGATTTTAGCTTAAACGATAATAACATTAAAATCTTGTTACCTTGCTCAAATATAATTGGCTAACTGCATTATACTAGCGCTAATAAAGCATTAGTTAAGATCAATGACTAATTATGCCAAGTTAGAAACTGTACTGATTCTCTACTTTATTGTTTTAAATCATAGAAGTTTAAATAATTGAAACACAGAACGTTTTGTTGAAACAAATCACAAGCCAAAATGATAAGAATCTTCGCCAAAGCTAAAATGAAATACTAGAAGTTGAATTCCAAAGCCAATTTTCCTGACACAGTTACTTACTATAGAGTGCTTGCAAGTAAATAAATACTTCAACTGAGGCAAATATTTTTTCATAAAATAATACTTTGGTATCACAGTGGTATTTTGATTTCTTACCAACAGGTATTAACGCTGTTATAACATGTATTTGATTGATATTACAACAGGTAGATTTGATAGTACCTAATTAATTTCATAAAGAAGCATACAGTAGCTTCTGAAACATATATATTTCACTATCGCCGAGATATGTGTTTAATTCATCACATTTCTTGGACTAGCCAATAAAAATCACCAAAAACTCTTCTGAATTTGTGAAAAAAAAGCTTACTTAATTTGAGCTTATTTGATACTTCTCCCTTTAGGGAATCTTACCTCGAGTGGGAAATCCACTAGGTTTATTGGAGTTTTAAATATTACATTTGATTTTGAAATATGTTCAGAGAACCTCAACACTGTCTTGCTTGTCGCCTGTAGGATGTGATTGGTCTTTAATCGTCATGGTAAGAACTCAGTAGCGTTTCAGTAAAAAAAAAAAAAAAAGCCCAAATTAGCAGGTTGCATGTATCGGCTTTACCTTAAGCATGACCTTTATCTGTTTCATTAAACACTGTATCATTAAATCTCTATTATGTCTCAAAATCTTATCCGTATCGATATATGCAATGATGATAATCAAAATACAAAAAGCCTTCAATCGTCCTTGATAAACATCATTGAAAATATCGCTTACGGAATGAAACAAGCCTCTCACTTTACCCTTGAGAGTAGTTATTGTAACTCATCAACTGTCTGAGATTAGTAATCAGAACGCTGATAATATAGTACCTTGCTTTGGTGGTGTATTACTGGCTGAGTTGTGAAACGAATAATTACGAAAATTTGAAAAACAATACTATCAATCTTATCGTCACGCGAGCCACAGTTTATCAAGGTTATATTTGATTAGACTCTTTCATTTGCGTTCATTGTTTTGACATAAAAACTTGTTCGAATATCTCCTTAACTGCTTCATTTTTGTACTGTTTTGATAATTAAATATTAACAATTTCAATTACAAGCACTATTAAGAAAATATTATTTCCGAAATTTCACAATCATTTATTTATTTTCATATTATCTTTCATTTTTCATTTCAAGTTATGAATTGTAAGGGTAAAATTTTCTGCTAGGTTTCCACAAAATCATTTGCTTAATTATCAATACTTGGTTCGGTCCGGCATGGCCAGGTGTTCAGGGCACTCGGCTCGCAATTTGAGGGTCGCGGGTTCGAATCCCCGTTACACCAAACATGCTTGTCTTGCTTGGGAGCGTTATTATGTGACGGACAATCCCATTATTCGTTGATAAAAGAGTAGCCCAAGAGTTGGCAGTGGGTGGTGATGACTAGCTGCTTTCCCTCTAGTCTTACACTGCTAAATTAGTGACGGTTAGCGCAGATAGCCTTCGTGTAACTTTGCGCGAAATTCAAAACAAAACTCACAAATCAATGGTTGGTTCATAAATAACATTTCAAGTAAGTTATGCCTGTAATGTAAACATGATAGGTATTATTTTTCATTATAATATTTGCATTGAAGATTTTCAAGATTTGTGGGTTATTTTTTTTAGAAGCGACTCATTGTCCATATTGTTAGGTTGTTTACAAGAAATGTTACCCACTGACGAGGAACCCACTTGAGGTCATTTGCTGTTTGCGCGTGAATTGCTACATTTTTTTACATGTTAATTCCCTAAACCTTCCACGTGAGGAGGTTATGCAGTTTATACAAACACTTGATTTCAGAAAACACGAGTCACATGTCATTATTAGAAACTCAATGTAATAAAATAATGTGCTGATATATGTAATTATTGCACACATTTAACATTTTTTAGTTTGCCTTTTTGCCTAGCCATCAATATCAAAAACCCTAAAACCATTTTGTCTGACGTAATGCTTCTTATAGCAAGAGAAAGTTTCAAAGTCTTTAATTAACACAGCGGTTTTGTATTAATGTTGAGTAATAGAATACCTTCCACAGGCGTCAGAGTGTTAGTGAATGTGTTATTGAAAATATTACTGGAACCTGTGGTTAATAGCATTGTTTTATCCAGAAATATAAAGTATATAGTTTAAATTATTAAGTGTTAGCGAATGTGTTATTGGATAGATTACTGGAACCTGTGTTTAATAGCATTGTTTTATCCAGAAATATAAAGTATATAATTCAAATCATTAGAGTTAGTGTTTTGTATTGTTCTTTACTCTACATTATAATAATAGTCTTCTCATCTGCTAGATAAGAGCTGGTTTTCTTGGCTTACTAACATTCTAAGGAAGCATTCTTCCCGGGAATAGTGAATGACGCGGAAAACTGGATTACAACAAATTCGTCTAGACAGCAATATTTTATTCGACTTCAGAACCTTTTAGTGTTTGATCCAATACATCCCTGGTTGCATCTTGGGTAGGTGAACTCATATATCACTAGTGTGATTCTCAGTGGATGTTATTTGTCTTTAAAGTTGAAGAACCCTTTTAACTTATACTCTTGTTTTAAAGACACATTTTAACTACATTGTGAATGTAGCCGTTTGATAATAGTAGCAGTTTTTTTTCGGGACGTCTAACATAATAACAAATGGGGTATTGAGCTTTTCTGATTTGGTGTGGATTATTCCGTTTAGGAATGTCAAAATAAAACAGTTTCTTCTAAGCATTCTCGACTTCTGTTTCAAAAAGCTTTTAATTTCCCGGTGTCTTAAAAGCTCTGTATAATAGTGTTTTAACCAAATTTTCATTGAAAAATTAAGGGAGTGAAATTTTCAAAATTTGAATAAAGACCAGTGATAGTGGCTGTACGATACACTTTAGTGGTAAGTATACCCTGGTTATTTAAGACATGAATATCTAAGAAAGAAAGTTTTTTATTTTATTGATTTTAATCAGTAAACTTTATATCGAGATGTTAAAACCTAAAAAAATCGTTAATTGACTCAACATTGTTAAACACCACAAAAATATCACCCACATTTTCCTTGGAAACATGGGAAAAGGTTATCAAATTAGGGGCAAAGCAGGAGCCCATAGCCGCTCCATTAATGATCAACCTGTTCATAGATTTTACCGCTAAATATAAAATGTTATTGTTTCGTCGTAAAAAGTAAAAATAGTTTAAAATTCGTACAATTTCATTTTCAGCAAACACATGGTTAGAACAACAAATAATGATTCCGTCTGGAGGTATATTTATAAAAAATAAAAAAATACTCGATACCATAACTAGCTGACTCCTCATCCAGTGAATCAGAAGTAAACTTGAAGGTTTATAATGCTAAAACTGGGTTTTCATACTCGCGGTGGGCACAGCACAGTTAACCCTGTGCGTAACTTTGTGCTTAACAATAAACAAACAAACTACAAATAGTACAATAAATATCATCACTAAACTCTGTCTGCTTTAGACTACTGACAAATTCAAAAGTATGCTTAACAAAATATTCATTCTGTACAAACTATTTCTCAAGCAGGACCAAAACCATGATTATTGGTGCCTGAAAGTCCTTGTTTGCGAACCTTAGGGAGTCCTTACAAAACCCCACACTGTCATCTTGTTGGTTGGATCTTTTGGTAAATGTCTCCCTCTATGGTGTCGTCTTTTTAACTTTAAAAGGTGTCTTTTAATTTTCGCTTACGTTGTTGTTGTGGGATCCCTCCTGATTTCTACAAATTTAATTAGAATACTTTTCACTCTGTTGATTCAATAAATTTTATTTAAATCACAACCTCATTACATTTTCAATATAGTGATTATTGTGTTTTACAATATCTAAAGTTTCCAAAGCTTGGATTTTATCATTGCCTAAAGTACTGTTCTTCTTTTCTGGGCCTAAAATTTTGTAATATCCCCAGGGCACAAACAGCACTTGAATCTTGGACAATTGTTGTAAAAAGTTTCATAACCTAGAAAATAATACTCTTCAGTGACTTTCTTAAGAGGAATAGAAAACTGTAATCATTTGACTAGGAACCTTTTACTATCATCACAAACCTATACAATGGGTTATTTGACTAGGAACCTTTTACTATCATTACAAACCTATACAATAAGTTATTTGACTAGGAACCTTTTACTATCATCACAAACCTATACAATGGGTTATTTGACTAGGAACCTTTTACTATCATCACAAACCTATACAATGGGTTATTTGACTAGGAACCTTTTACTATCATCACAAACCTATACAATGGGTTATTTGACTAGGAACCTTTTACTATCATCACAAACCTATACAATGGGTTATCTTTGTTTTGCCCACAGAGGGTATTGAAATTTAGTTTTTAGGGTTATAAGCCCTCGAGCCACAGAGAGGCCCATGAGAGGTTCATGGTGATTCTGCAGGATATTTATTTGTTTGTTTATAGCTACATAATGGGCTATCTGTGCTGTACCAACCACGGGTATTGAAATCCAGTTTTTAGTGTTATAAGTTTCAGGCTTTCGGGGGGATTGCAGCAGATAAAGGAAGTATCAGAATCCTGAAGAACTTATACTGGAGTTAACAAGAAGCAGTTCGAATTGACGAAGAACTAAGCAATTGGTTTGTGGTTGAAATAGGAGTACGACATGTTTCATTAGTTTTTCAATACATAGAATTCACCAGGCGATTACAATATATTTAATAATAAATGTATTGTTTCATGTTAGTTTCAACTGATTATTTTGTCACGTCGTCAGTGCCGAGTATATTATTACAGAGGAGTTAAAGCAAGTCATGAAAATATGAAACCAAATTCACACTCAAAGCCTGTGTATATAAAACAGTTTTATAATATATTATTCTATGTGAGCTAGTTTTGATTAGAACATACCTTTCATGGTGCAAAGAGTCAATGTCGATATCTTCAGATTGTCAGTCGGATTCTGTCTCCCAATCATAATCTGTACTTGATTTTACTACTAACCATTGACTAGCCCATCAGAATCAATCAGTGCATGCGCGCGCCTTGAAATGGTGAAAAGGGTGGGTGTATTTCAATTGAATAAGAATGTTAATTATGTTGGATATTCTAAAGCAGATACGTACTCAGTCTACCAAGTTCTATTAATTTTAGGTCGATTAGTTGATTAACTTCACTTAAAAAACTAGTTGACTAGTAAACTTCAGTGGTTATTTCAGTACTAGCTGTTAACTATATTATTTTATTTATACGCAGAGATGCTCTGGAGAGAGTTAATTACTGATACAGTTGGAATCAAGGATAACGGAAACTGAATATGTAATAATACGCTGTTATACTGTTTATGCTGCGTTTATGGGTGATTCCGAGGAAAAGATATAACGGTTATTTGGCAAGCTTGTTGACAAAGGTTAAAATAATTTAATGTTAACAAAACTGAAACAATAGCAATTTCACAATCTGAAAAGGCTTGGAACAAGTAGCGGAGTTCACTTATCTGGAGATAAATAACATTAGTGATGAAAATTGTAGAAAAGATGAAAAGTGGAGAAATTAGAATGGCAAAAACGTCATTGTTCGATCTCTAGGAATTGCTTAGGTGATATTTCTGACTAGAATTGAAGAAAATAATGTTACATATAATGTTACTATAATGTTACATATATTCCGTCCTAATCTATGGGGTGAAAATGTGGATTCAGTTTGCTAGAACAAAAGACACTTGTAAGTATTTGAAAAGCGATGTTGTAGAAGAACGATAAACACCATCTTCACTGAAAGAATAATTAATGAAGAAATACTTAAATGCGCATAAACGAAAAAAACTGCAAGACAGTAGGAAACTGCGCTACTTTGGGGCATAAAAATTAGATTTTAATGAAGGTTGGCAGATATTTTGATGGGTAAAATCGAAATAAGAAGAGCGAAGGGTAGGCTGAGACTCGCTGGTCTCGATAACATTAAAAATGGATTGGAGATTAGAAGCTTGAATTGGAAAAGTTGATGCAGACAGTGAGAGGTATAGAACAATAGAGAACTATCGACCCTCGGAATTAGGGAGGACATTATGATTGATTGATAATGATATCTTCACGAGATTACAAGAGAAGAAATATTTTTTTTTTACTGTTGTTGTTTCTTCAAGACATCTGATGACTATTTGTCGTATCACCCAGACCATAGTACATTATCTATCAAAACACTTGTTTCTTCTTAAAGTATTTTTCGATCACGCGCATTATTAGTATTATCTTATTTAACAGACCATAACATGCATTATCACCATTTATCTAAGTTCACCTGACGTCGCCTTCTCAAAGCTTTTAGCTGTGAGCACATCTCTCTTCAGAGTCACAAAGCATCGTAGAAGAAGCTTTAAGAACCACGTCAGCTAACTCGATAAAGTTTGATATTTAAATTAATTATGTTTAAGATGGAAATTAGCAAGAGCATGGAACCTAATAACACAAATATTAACACAGATATTACATCTGTTGACATGGAAGCTAATACGAGCATGAAAAAACAAGATGTACACTATGCTCTTCACTGGAAAATGTTTTTGGCTTCTGGTGTTGCATTAATTGGAGCTGTTGGAATGGGGATGGTGATAGGATTTACGGCCCCTGCTCTCCCTAAGATGATAATTCCCAGTAGCCCAGTCATATTAACAGAAGACCAAGGAACTTGGTTTGCTAGCCTTATGGCTGTTGGCGCTCTTGTTGGTGGTTTGACGGCAGGTGAGTAAACTCATCCTTGTAGTAACTATGTCACGATAATGTTCTTTAATATAATTTCTTATGTCATTAAATGTTTTATATATCATGATTTGAACACACCTATATAACAACTGATTTTTCAACATTGGTGATGATAATACGTTTTCAGCATACATTAAATTAGGATTTAATTTCAATCTTTTTGACACCTCTTTCAGTGTGTCGGCATACTGGTTTTGGCAGGAATGACTACTGGTGGATATTATAATCTTTTTATGCTACAACATGACTTTGTGAGTGCTATACTACAGAGAGATACATTTTTACAATTATTGGCTTTAGTTATTAACAGACCCCCCAGTGGCACAGCGGTATGTCTGTGGATTTGTACCGCTAGAAACCGGGTTTCAATACCCGTGGTGGACAGAACCCAGATAGCCCATTGTGTTGCCTTGTGCTTAATAACAAACAACAACAACAATAGTTAGTAACAGTAATTGTGTTTTGTCATAGCTATAATATAGAAAGCTTTCATTATCCCTGAATTATTTAGAGCAACGTACAATTTCTTTTTTCTAACTCTTGAAAAAAACGTTTCTATATCTCATCTTTCCCAAATAATAACCAGAAACTTTCATCCAACATGGCATATTCCATTAATTATGCTACAGGGTTCTGAAAGGAGCAATCATGAATAGGAATATGTTGTTTTTTAATGTTGTCTGTTTCATGAAGACAAAATGTTTGGCTAAAACGGTTTTGTTTGCATAGGAATAGACATTTTTAATGGGACTAACTTCTAATAAGCATAATAACTTAATATTCCTTTCTAATTTACAGGCCCTGTATCAGAAATTCTGGGAAGGAAAAAAGCGCTCATCCTAATGAACATTCCCTTCATCCTTGGCTGGCTTCTGATTGTGCTTGCTAATGGAATTTCCATGTTATACGTGGGACGCTTGTTGACAGGTATATGTACTGGAATGGTATCTGTAACAGCTCCGATGTATGTCGTCGAAATCTCAACTCCAAATATCAGAGGTATGCTGGGAACCTCCTTTCAAGTATTTGTTACTATTGGTATCCTGGCAGCGATGACTCTTGGAGTTTACCTTTCTTGGACATGGCTTGCAGTGACATCTGCCATTCTGCAAGCCACGGCAATGGTCTCCATGATTCCTATACCTGAATCTCCTAGCTGGCTTATGAATAGAGGAAGGAAAGAAGAAGCGGTTCAAGCTATTTATTTTTTTCAAGGCAAAAGAGGTGTCGATGCTGAAAAACAATGCGAAGAAATTATAAAAAACGTCGAAAGTGACCAAACAGGACGAATAGCACTATCTGATTTTAAACAAGAGCATTACTGGAAACCTGCGCTTCTGTCTATTGGATTAATGTTCTTCCAACAGCTCTCAGGCATCAATGCTATTTTGTTCTATACTGTAGAAATTTTCAGAGAAGCTGGAAGCTCCCTCGATGAGAGTTTGAGTACAATTTTGGTCGCTGTGGTAATGGTTTTATTCACCATTCTCGGAAGTTTTCTTGTCGACAGAGCAGGACGTAGAATCTTACTTTTAATTTCTGGAGTGGGAACTGCAACCAGTCTCTTCTGTTTGGGTCTGTCCTCTGGTGTTCTTGTCCACAAAATTGAATCATTCGAAACCCGTTTTGGCTGGATACCACTAGTTTGTCTGCTAGTATATATAAGTACTTTTGCTGTTGGATTCGGCCCTCTTCCGTGGTTTATGACGGCAGAAATGGTTCCCCAAAGAGCTCGAAGTATTGTTAATGGTATAGTCGTTTGTTTTAACTGGACGTTTGTCTTCATGGTCACTAAAACTTTTGACATATTTCTTCATGGCCTAAATCAGCATGGTACTTATTGGTTATTTGCTGCCATGTGTGCTCTCAGTTGTTTATTCACTTTATTCCTTCTTCCGGAAACCAAAGGCAAATCATTAGAACAAATACAGAAATACTTTCTTGGCATTAAAGGTACAATACCCACTTCTTCATCGCAAATTGAACTTATTGAATAAAAACGTTTTCTGTTTATGGAAATGCGTAGGAGAAACGTATCTTTGTTTAATACATGAACAAGTACTGATAATGGTTTAAAGGAAGTGAATATCATGAAGAAAACCTTCAAGATCAACTAAATATTTCATCAAATAACTTTTCGGCGTAAAAACAAGAAGAATACAGAACTGATTTTGTTTACTTAAGTTAGGATGAAATTTCTTACCTAATGAAGATCTCACTTTTATTCATAAGAGGAAAGATTAAGCAAAACACAATTTGATTTTGCATTTCACAGTCAACTGGTATTTGGTATGTATTGCCGTTGGGGAATTGGTTGACGTCAGTCCAAGTGACTGATCCTTTCCATTTGGCTGAATCTTTAGTGAAACCTTACGATGGACGATTTTACAGAAATCAAGTAGGACCCCTGAGGAGGTTAATATTACGATAAATCTGCATCCTGAGAATAAGTTACTCGTAGACGCACGTCTAATAAACTAAAATATTACAAAATCGTTTCTAATTATCATAATATTTTGCATTTTAGTGATACGAAATGCCAAGTGAAACGAATGACAAATGTTAAGTAAAAACATTCACAGGTTAAACACGATGTTTGTAGATTTTAAATGTTCAATGGAGAGTTGTAAAGTAAAAATAGTTTGAACTTTAACATACTGCTTTTAACATAAATACTGGACAAACATCTTTAGTCCATATATGTATTTCACATTGAGTCAGCTCATTGCTGTTATTGTTAAACAAATACTCTTTACAGAATAAACTTATTAATCGTTTAATTATTTGAGTAATAGTTATGTATAATATATATATATATATTAATGTACCTAAATAAAATTTATTGGATTGGTGTATATTGTTCTTTTTTATTAGCAGGAGAGACATATAAAAGTGTTTTGATTAGCATGACAGACATATAAAAGTGTTTTGATTAGCACGAGAGACATATAAAAGTGTTTTGGTTAGCATGAGAGACATATAAAAGTGTTTTGATTAGCATGACAGACATAAAAGTGTTTTGATTAGCACGAGAGACATATAAAAGTGTTTTGGTTAGCACGAGAGACACGTAAAAGTGTTTTGGTTAGAATGAGAGACACGTAAAAGTGTTTTGCTTAGCATGACAGACACGTAAAAGTGTTTTGATTAGCACAAGAGACATAAAAGTGTTTTGATTTGTCACACATTTATACTTTCAGGGCTAATGATGGTCTCTTACTTAAACTTATTTCATTATAGAACACTATTTTCTTTCCAGTTTTCTTGCCCTTGGTTTATCAAAAATTGTTAATTTAAAAAGTGGGAATAGAGATCTTCAAAACTCACAGAAACAAAATACCTAGTTTGAAGTGAAAATGCACTCGTAAAAAAGTAAACAAACCAGCTTAAGGTTTGAGATATAGTGTTTATATTATTTCCTCAAGCTATAAATCCCTATTTGACTCACCTGGATATTACAGCGTTTGGACATAGGAGCTCAGTAGGATGGCAGAACAATAATAAATAATAATAAAGAACGAATTGGCGATCCCTTTTATGAACCACTGTTGTAATTCATAATAATGCCCAATTTAGTTTGACTTATGGTAGCTTCTGTCCTTTCCATTTTTAAATGACAATATAAATTTATCAAGCCACACTATGTTATATATTAAATATTTTTACAATGCTAAGATCCGGGGTTCGGTTCCCCGCGGTGGATACAGCAGATAACCCAATGTGGCTTTGCTTTACAAAAACAAATAATATTAAACATATAAAAACCAGTTGTTTAATAGGTTTATTTGAATAACACAGATCTGATTACGTACTATAATATTATTTAAATTATAATATATATAGTAGTTAATGTATAACATAGCACATTTGTAGTTTTCATTTCTATAGTAACGTCACAACTATTCTGAATTACTTTGCAATAATTCTTAGTTTTTCTACGTTAAGTTTTATCAACGTCTTTACACGAATTTCTAACATATATACACACACTGTAACGTATAATAAAGATATATGGTTGATTAAGGCAGAAAAATCAAGCACTGTCAAACATATACGTTTCCTACAGAATATTTTTCTACAATTCTCAACGCAGCACAAGTGATATTAAACATGTGAAACTGATAAAAATCTTACACTATGAAAGTAATAAATTACAACCATAATAAATAATGGTTTTCACTTAGTCTAGCAAAGCGCGCACCATAATTGCGAAGTTTTGTATTTCAGTTTGGAGATCACTACAGACAGGCTACTTTATACTGAAAAGTAAAGATAATAGAAATCGCAGTTGTCCATGAAAATGTCCACAGTAAACACATACCAACTACTGTCTGAGCTTCCTAAAGATTATTCATACTTATTTGTACATTTTTCTTTCTTCACCAAAATTTGAATTTTCAGTGAAGAAAAGAAAGAAATATTGAACGACGCAGAGTTTAAATCTATTCATTGATTCGCTACTCACTCTGCAGTGGCCCGGCATGGCCAGGTGGTTAGGGGCGCTCGACTCGTAATCTGAGGGTCGCGGGTTCGAATCCCCGTCACACCAAACAGTCAATCCCACTATTCGTTGGTAAAAGAGTAGCCCAAGAGTTGGCGGTGGGTGGTGATGACTAGCTATCTTCCCTCTAGTCTTACATTGCTAAATTAGGGACGGCTAGCGCAGATAGCCCTCGTGTAGCTTTGCGCGAAATTCAAAACAAACACTCTGAAGTAGACTATAGTTCAGCATATTAATGACTACTCAGATCTGCTTTACATCGTATCCTACGAATAGTCGTACTGTTGTGTATTTTAATGAAAGTACGAACCTAATAATTACCTGGAGCAAAACCAATAAAGAATTCTAATTTCACCTGACGCCATTTCTCTAATGTGAAATAAACAACAAAAAAACAATAACAAGCAAATGGAAGAATTTAAAAACACGAACAACTCTATGCTGGCAAAGCAAGGGTAGATTCTGTGGCCCGTGAACAGCAATGCATAATATAGCACTGTATGTAAAGTCACTTGTAACTATTCATACCCCCAGACTCTAAGGCGTGTTTCTTACCTGGCATCTTATTTTAAAATTTTGTAATGTGAAGATGATTTGTAAGAAATATATAAATACTCGAATTTCAGTTTAAACCATTGCTCTATCACAGACCAGTATACAGTTTGTAGTGTAAGTCCATATAATCATAAAGGCTTTCTCATGCTAGATTAAGCATCTGGCACCTGCTTTGCTCAAGAACATATATAAATATATATAGTAAATTACATTGCTTGTGTTTTTAACATTTTAGGACTTCTCTTTATAGTTCATAGATTTGATATATAAATTCATATAGAACAATTATTATAGTATAATCTATAATATATCTGAATATTATGTGCACTCATTTTTACGATGAATGGGTTCTACACTGAAAAGCTGAATCTTACAGTGCCATCTTTTGAGCCAAACAAAGACGAATGTTTTATACCAACATCAGCATATGAAGGTATCTGTTGTCATGATTATCATTTATATATTAAAAAAAAAATAATTTTTGAAACTTTACTTTGAACTGCATTTGTCCATAAATAAATAAATATGACTGCTTGAAAATAAAAATGTATAATTTATAATTTCGTCTTCGCCTTACAGGTATAACAGTTTTCGAACATTTAAAGTAAATAAAGACATTGTATTTTCTCAAGTATTTCCTGTTTATACACACATAACTAGCAAAATTGAAAGTTAAACCTAATTAAACGAACAAACTCCTCTATCAGAAATGCAGCAACTCACTGTGCATTTTGTTTGCATATTTAATATCTTCGTTTTTTCCTCCACTGCGAACTCGAACATTTCTCCGATTTTGACTTATTGAAAATTTCAGAACACACGCAAGGTGTTTTAAAAGGTACGATGTCGACAGCTGCACAAATACGACCAAATGTCATCTTCATAGTTCAGTTATATCATTCTTAACATGTTCGTATATCAAAAGAGTATATATTTCTGGAAAAGGACGTAACTTTTAAAAATGATATTTTGTGAGAGAGTGATTCTTTATGCAACAAGTCTATTGTTATGTCGAATTTGTTCATTAAAAGGCACCTTGAAAGGACTTCTGTACCCGTTAGTTTTCTGTTGAGTAGCTTACTCTTTTCTCTTTTCAAGTGTTTTTGTTATCAATTATACGAAATCATAAGTTGTGTTTTGTGTCAACACACGCTCAAATACAGCAAACATTGATCATTTGTTATAGTAATTTGGAATTGGATTTACAAAATTCCAGAATCTTTAGACGTAAGAACATCTGATATCGATACAACCGCTGTTTGGTCTTATTAATTTTTTTTTATTTCTCATGCCTTTGGCTATAAATTGGCAATGAAAATGTTTTCATCTAACATTTCCAGCAATATTCTGTGTTTTTTTATAAATCTATTACAAGAAGCATTTAAATCGGTCAGATAGAAGTAAAATGGTGAAAGCTGATGACTGAAAACTTAAGAAAATTTAACTCGTCGGCAAATTTGGCATTTCCGAGTTTATTTGTCATGCCATAAGCTTGCTCCCTCAAGCTGGATCGTGAAACTTTGTGTTATCAGTTAGCTTTGTTAAGGTGATGATGTATGGAATATGAAGTTGACTCCAAATTTTCTTCATTGATAGAACATATAAAAATTCTGGAAGTGACATATCGATTAATAATTGATATATTCGACAATACTGAGGCAAATAATAGATATTTTCATGCAGAATGGATACCGTGATACACCATGATTGCTCCAAACAGCCAGTAAAATCTGCATATTTGCTGCTACCATTACAATTTTCAAGCCATTCGTTCCTAAAATTAAAACGATTGTCTCACAACTTCATGAAGAGTCCCTTTAAAATTGGCCAGTACTGAAACCGAGCCATTACCTTCATTACAAAATTTCAAACGTCATTCTAGTATTAACAAAAATTGTTGATTCGAAGCCATCAAGTAGCCTACAAAGCAAAAACTTGCTAAGATTATAAAAAGTAGGCACAACAGAAATTGTGAATGTTGTTCATAGTACTGTAGTGACTGACTGGAATATAATGCAATAAACTACTGGAAAATATTGTTATTACTAATTAAAAATATATTTTCAACTTATAGTAAGAAAAGCTATATGCATTTTTTAATCCCATTTTTCAGTTTGTTCTGTCCAATTTCTAATCTTTTGTTCGAGCCTTAGATCGGAAAACGTTGTACATCTGACTAACAAAATACAACGGTATAAATATTAAAAAGCACTAAATGAATTTCACATCGCACAGTTTTAAGAGTTAGTAAATGAGAAATCTTCTTTGCCAGAAAAAGGTTCAAATATAATCACAAACGTTTTTCAAAGCTTAAAGTCACGGTGAACTTTGTACACTGGCATGGTTATAACATCTGTCGAAGTAAGCCCCCCAGTGGTACAGAGATATGTCTGTGGACTCACAATGCTAGAAACCGGTTTTCGATACCTATGGTGGGCAGAGAACAGATAGCCCATTGTGTAGCTTTGCGCTTAATTAGGAACAAACAAACTGTCGAAGTAAGCCAGTATACGCAAGTATATCTTGTGAGATGATAAATGCCTATTGGTGTCTT